TTCAGGAGATTATATGACGCATGTGTATATATTTCTAATAAGGGAAGTAAATAAATAGATCATGCCATCTAAGACATCAACAAAGTTCCTAGGTAATAAATGGCCTGAATACCAAAGATACATTCATCACAATGCAATCTTGACAAGAAAAATGAACTTCTAAGATAACGTCCACATACCAAGTTCCAAGGGGAAAAAAAGGAATCAATAACAAGGCTGATAAGTACAGTGAAGGAGATGGTAAAACCTGAGGGCCATGATGAACAACATAGCTTTGCTTCATTTACATGCTTTACAGCAAGCCCAATCATCCACGATCCAACACTAACATCATCATGTGCATATGTCCGGAGAACAGACCTAGCATTGAAAAGTGACACCAAAGATACATCACTAGATGTATACTTATAAAAACATCTCTTCTTTCTACTTCTATATCCATGCTAGAATACAAAATAAATATTAGTGCACAAAGCATAGGTTGTGTACCTGTTTATAGAAATGAACTGAGCCACGGCCCTTGATACGACAAACATTTCACCAGAAGCATGTCGAAAGTATCTATGAGTTGGTACAATGAAATGGGTGAGCCACCACCGTAGTGGTATTGAGCATTCAATGTACTAAGATTAAATACTAGTACAGGTTGCTTACGATTTCCCGTCACCAAATTTCCACCAATCCGGTTCATACCACTTATGGGTCCTGTTTCAAGGAAGCTGTTAGCGATTGTCGATTCCCTGACAAAGAAAAGGATGCAAGAGGCAAACATGGTACACAAATCCCATTTCTTCTGGCTCAAACAACTCACGCTTCAGAAAAGACCTCCCCAGATTTCATACAGCCTATGTAGACACGAGGCTTGTCCCAGTGAGTTTCAAGCATTGCACTCAGAGTGTCTGCATAAACACAATATGTTGTTCCGTGTTAGGTGCTGCTTTTCCCCGCAAAAAACTGAAAGTGCTATTTGACTATAAAACATGTTGAGCAAGTGCGAAAAATGCATTCCAGAAACCAAGATCTTGCAGATAGACTTTTTTACAGATCAAAAAGTTTCGCTTCGACAAGGCCCAGGAATCACGCAATCTCTCGCCCCCGCATAGCCAACCTCAAAGACAGCGACGCTAACACAGGCTTCTTCCACCGGCAGTGCTCGTTCAGACGACAGAAGAACCGCATCTTTAGCCTCACTGCAGATGGCAGGGTGCTCACGGACCACACTGAGATGGCGCGCAGGCAGCCTTCCTCTGTCACGGCACCCTGCTCGGCACCGCCGCCGACCAGGAGCACTCCCTGGACCTGTCGCAGCTCATTGAACCGACAGACCTCGCCGACCTTGACGAACCGTTCAGCGCGGAGGAGATCTGGGAGGCTGTCAAGCGCCTCCCTGCGCACAAGGCGCCGGGACCAGACATGTTCACGGCGGAATTCCTTCGCGCGCGCTGGAGCACCGTTAGGCAGGACTTTCTCGACGTGTGCTAGCAGCTCTATGACCTGCGAGGAAGGGGGTTCTGCAAACTGAACCAAGCGCTTCTGACGCTGCTCCCGAAGAACACCGCAGCCCATGGACTGCGCGACTACCGGCCGATCAGCCTTATTCACCTTGCGGCCAAGCTCTTCGCCAAGGTGCTTTCGCGCCTCGGCGCCAAGCTGGATCTCCTAGTCAGCCGCAACCAGAATGCGTTCATCTCGGGACGGAGCTTACACGACAACTACGTCCTCGTCAAGCAATCGCTCAAGCTGTTACACCATTTGGGAGCTCCACGAGTCATGATTAAGCTCGACCTCACGCGCGCCTTCGACTCCATATCGTGGCCATTCCTCTTCGAGGTTTTGCGCCAATATGGATTTGGGAACCGCTTCCTCCAGCACGCATGTTCTAGTGAACAGCGAGCCCGGACCACCCATCTGGCGCCGACAAGGGCTCCGCCAGGGCGACTCTATGTCCCCGCAGCTCTTCGTGCTCACCGTCGACACGCTCGGACGGCTCCTGAGACGTGTCCACAGCTTGGGCATTCTGCAGCCACTGCACCCCCGACGACACATCCCAACGATCTCGCTTTACGCCGGCGACGTCATGGTCTTCTGCCATGCCACGGCTGGCGACGTCGCTGCGGTCAAGGAGATCCTCGCCTTGTTCAGCAGGGCCTCTGGCCTCCAGGTGAACTTCACCAAGAGCTCCGCTACCATCTTGCACGGCGACTAGGCGGCCACGGAGACGATCACGCACCTCGGATGCCCGGTGGTGACACTCCCTATCACCTACCTCGGCATCCCCCTGTCCACACGCCGCCCATCAGCCGCCCAGCTGCAGCCCATGGTCAATTCGGTCGCCGCACGCCTCCCAACTTGGAAGGCCTGGCTGATGACCAAAACCGGGCGCCTGGCACTGGTTAAATCAGTCATGTGAGTGATCCCGGTGCACCAGCTGCTCGCGTTCACGCCCCCTAAAAAGACTATCAAGCAGCTCGAGAAGATTCAACGCGAATTTCTCTGGGCCAGGCGCGCTGCTGCCAACGGAGGGCACTGCCACGTGAACTGGAACCACGTCTGCCGCCCCATCGAGCTTGGGGGTCTAGGCGTGCGCGACCTCGAACGAGCCGGCCTTGCACGAAGGCTGCGATGGTTGTGGTTCTCTAGAACAGATCCCGAGCGAGCGTGGCAAGGGCTCGACCTCCAGTTCTCGTCCATGGAGCATGCGCTCTTCTGGCCATCCACGTCCATGGTCATCGGGAATGGATTGACCACCCTGCTATGGGAGGACCGGTGGATCAACGGCCAGTCCGTCTGCGAGCTCCTGCCCAACCTCTACGACTGCATCCCCAAGCGATGGCGCAGGGCGAGAACCATGGCGGACGGGCTGAATGGCAACTCCTGGGCATGTGACATTCACGGCAACCTGGGCCTGCAGGAGATTGGTCAGTACCTGCAGCTTTGGCAGGTAATGCAGCACACCGAGCTCTCCGCTGCCCCGGACCAGCTGATCTGGAAATGGACGGCGAGCGGCACCTACTCCGCCCAATCCAGCTACTTGGCCACATTCCATGGATCGACGACTTGCTACTACTGGAAGCTTATCTGAAAAAGTTGGGCGCCGCCGAGAGTAAAATTCTTCCACTGGCTGGCCAACCAAGACCGGTGCTAGACCGCTGAGAGGCTGGCTCGCCATGGACTGCAACACCACCCTCGCTGTCTCCTATGCGATCAAGAGCCGAAAATGCTCCGACACCTGCTGCTGGAATGCCCCTTCGCTCGCCAGGCATGGCACGAGGTCCTGGCTTGGCTGCGCACTCCAGCCCCAATTCCCACCCGCGAGCCCTCGCTCATGCACTGGTGGAAGCATGCCAAAGAGAACACGCCACCGAGCCTTCACAAAGCCTTGAAACCCGTTGCGCTGCTCGTGTCTTGGATGGTTTGGAAACATAGGAACAGCTGCATCTTCGACAACGCATCACCATCTATGAATACGCTACTCGATAGGATCAAGGACGAGGCCTGCTCTTGGGCGGCTGCTGGGGCACCTGGCCTCCGGCTTGTGCTGCCACAAACCTGGGACATGCACTAACCATGCTGTAACCTGCTGTAACCTGCGCATCCTCGGACGTTTGTAACTGAACTTCTATCTTTTCAATGCAAAGAAACGCAAAGCTTCTGCGTTTTCTCGAAAAAAAAAGTTTCACTTTATTCTGTAGAAATGCAATAGCTAACTGAAGTCCCTTTTCCAACTGCCAAGTTCATTACCATCATAACATATCAACAACAAAAAATGGAGCACTTAAATTGGCAATGACAAATTGATACTTGAAACATATCATGCAGATCAGCAGATTGATACAGCTCCTCATCCAAACATAATAATCCCCTTTGTCTGTAACTATTGGTCCAATAATAATATTTTTGGTTGCTCATACACTCCAAACAAAAATTATACAAGTACATTTGTCGTAAGAATACCTTAATATTAAAGTTCATGAATTTTTAAAAGCATATTTTGGTAAATAATACAAGCCATAGTCAGATCCTCGAGATTCTGTACAGTCAAAATGCATAAACTATTTTGAAATGGAGGGAGTACCATTTATCAACTCCGCCTATGTCTTCTAGGCATAGTCGGTCCCAAGCCCGGGTAAAGCAGGAGGGTTGTGATAGGCTTGGCAAGCCAACATAAAAACTAGCCAGTCATATAGGTATGAAACCCATATGAGTGAGAGTAGTACTAGGATGGGTGACCTCCTGGGAAGTCCTCGTGAAAGGGTTTCATATCTAAGGGTTGTGATAGGCTTGGCGAGCTAACGTAAAAACTAGCCAGTCTTTTGGGTATGAAACCCATTTGGGCGAGAGTAGTACTAGGATGGGTGACCTGCTGGGAAGTCCTCGTGAAAGGGTTTCATATCTAGCCTACCCCAACTTGTTTGGGATAAAAGGCTTCGTAAATAAGTAAGGAGTACCATTTATCACACAAAATTGTTCAGACGTAATAAAAGTTAACAGATGATACTTACCAACATTTATGTATATATCATCATTGACCTTAGCATAAAATTCAGCATCAAATGTCTCTGCAGCATTAGCAAAGTAACGTTTTGTCTTCTTAGGGAGCTCTTCATCAGACTCTATATGATCATCCTGCAATGCCCAATAATAGTCAAGCACTACAAAGTGAGAAACAAAACATCCAATGTAAAAAAAAGTGAAAACACGGCTCTAGCAACTTATCTTGAAATGAGAAAGGTGGGTCAGGGTGGGGGTTCTTTTTCATAACAATTTGGACGCCATACAAAAAGTAACAAGTAACATACAGTGAAAACACGGCTCGAGCAAGTTATCTTGAAATGAGGAAGGTGGGTGAGGGCGGGGGGTTCTTTTTCATAACAATTTGGGCGCCATGCAAAAAGCAACATACAGTAGCAAAGCTAGGTGGCTTGTAATTCGACTGGTATCTCAGGCAGCACATAGTCCATAGTAACAAGGCAAACTATCAATATGTTTCCTTTTCTTTTTGCCTTTTGAAATCTGAATTCAACACTACGAAAGAGGACCAAGATCAAAAGTTGATCAAATGGAATCCTAAACAGTGTCGGTATCATATGTTCGATTCTTAAATCAGGCATACCAAGATCACAAAATCATTTGTACTTCTATTCTCGTCATCGATTTCCCTGTCAAAACGATCTCCTCGATTTGCACTGCATGGAGGAGCAACTATCAGATATGTAGACTTCATATTATCATTCCAGTAGGATTGTACGTATACAGTACCTTCTTCCAACTATGAAACGTACTACAATGCCTTTCTCATCTTCTAGTTTCTTCAGCAGTGAACCTGCACACATAAGTAAATTTAAACCACAAAGACAACAGAGAGGATTTCTTACCAATAGTAAGTTTCAAAACTAAGGAAATAGATGGAACACATTTTACTGTCTTTATTAACTGAAGATCAGCATTGCCAGAGTCTCATTTTCAAAATAAGTAGAACTGCAGCATTTGCTTCTAGATTTTGTCTAATACCTACCAATGCTAAATGCATAAGTTTTGTTCATAAATGATTAGTAATTTTACACAAGACTGGCTCTGTCCAGGTCATTGAAGTATGTGGATTGCCCAACCTTCATCAGTTCGGATTTTTGGTTCTACTGGTTGGTGCATGAAACTTGACATGGTATCAGAGCTAAGGGATCTTGGGTTTAAGTCTCGGCTTTCACAATTAGAATAAAAAAACTTTGGCCTCTTTCTGTCCGTGTTTAGGCCT